ATTCTTTAGAGCAATTCTAGGAGAAACGAGCGTTGTGAAGAGTATTCTGAATGACTATGAGGAGTTATCTGGGAAAAAGGTTAATTTTTTAAAATCCTCAGTGTTTTTAGCCCCAACACGGCAGATCAGATCAAGGACCAGTGTTGCCAGATCTTGGGGGTGGCCTCGAACGAAGTGTAGGGCAGGTACCTGGGGTTACCGGCACTCGTGGGAAGGAACAAAACTAGGGGTGAGCAAATAACCGATACAACCGATCTAACCGAAAACCGATGACCGAACCGACCGAAAAATTCGGTTTTCGGTCGGTTATCGGTTGTTAAAAATTTAAACTTTCGGTTTTTCGGTTAATCGGTTATTATTCGGTTATTGTTATCGGTTATCGGTCGGTGACCGATAACCGACCAAAATATATAAAGCTTTACTAAAAACACTATTTGGGGTAGTTCCCGGTAGAATTTTTTAATGAAATTTTATAAGCATGTTCCTTATGAAATATAGATTATCTCCACTAAATTTCACCGTAAAATTCAATCGGGAAGTCAGTTAAATATTTTTTTCCAATTTATAGCGCCAAAATACATAAAAACGCAATATTTTTCAAAAATTTATTTAACTAACTTCCGGATGGAATTTCAAATTGAAATTTGGTGGAGATTATATACACTTCAGTAGGAATATGCTTATAAAATTTCATAGAAAAATTCCACCGGGAACCACCTTAAATAAAAAAAATGCTAAATATTTCTACATGTTCGGTTATGGTCGGTTTTTCGGTTACCGACCGAAACCGAACTTCGATTTTTCGGTCGGTTAGAGTTATACTATCGGTCGGTTATCGGTCGGTCATTCCAATTAAAATTTTTGGTCGGTTATTCGGTTATCGGTCGGTTATTTGACCGACCGACCGAATGCTCACCCCTAAACAAAACATCTATTTTGGGTTATTTGAGGGATAGGATTCTTAATAGAATCAAAAGCTGGAACAATCAGTTTCTGTCTAGAACTAGGAGAGCTGTGTTATTAAAAAATGTTATTCAGGATATGCATAATTACGCTATGAATGTTTTCTTATTACCCAAGGAGTTATGTGATGAGATTGAAAAACTTATGAATGGGTTCTGGTGGCGGGGATCTAAACTGGATCAGAATGGGCTGAGGTGGAGGAGTTGGCAGAATCTGTGCAGACCGAAAGCAGTGGGAGGGTTGGGATTCAGGAGAATTAGGGAGTTTAATTTGGCTATGTTGGCTAAGCAGGGGTGGAGGCTCATAAACGATGAAGATAGTTTGGTTGGAAAAGTTATGAAGGCTAGGTATTGCCCCAATTCATGTTTTCTTCAGGCAAAATTGGGAAATAGTCCCTCTTTCATATGGAGGAGTATTATTGAGACTCAGGATGTCTTGAAGTATAATATTAGGCGAAGAGTGGGAAATGGAGTAAAAGTTCAAGTATGGGCGGATGTGTGGCTCCAAGGAAATGATGATGGCCGAATTACTTCTGCAAAACCACGGTGGGTCCAAGATATGAATGTAACACCTTTGAGGGATGCTACCGGAAAAGAATGGAATAGAGAAAGAGTTGGCTCTATTTTTAATGAAGTAGATAAGGAGAGAATTTTGAGCATTCCAATAAGTTCTACAGATAGGGCTGATGGGTATTGGTGGAAAGGCGAGGGGAATGACGTTTTTTCGGTTAAGAGTTGCTATAGGCTTTTAATGGGCGAATTTTAATGGGCGAATTCCAGAGTGTGACGGTGGACACTTGGAAGAATTTGTGGGAATCTAAGGTACCTCCTAAATTTAAATTTTTTCTGTGGCAGGTTTTAGATGGATCGATCCCTACGGTGGACAACTTACGTCATAGGAGGAGGCCGGACGGCGGTTCCTGTCAGGTATACCTGACAGGAACATTTGTGATATATATATATATATATATATATATATATATATATATATATATATATATATATATATATATATATATAGAATTTGGATCAAATAAAAAAAAGTCTTAATGTGTAAAATGAGAATAAATCTGAGCCGTCCAAACCGTCGATCTGATGCACAATAACCCGTATCTGATGCACTTTTGAATAGACCTTGTTTGATGCACTTTTCGAAAAGTGCATCAAATAAGGTCTATTCGAAAGTGCATCAGATAGGGGTGATTGTGCATCAGATCGACGGTTTGGACGGCTCAGATTTATTCTCATTTTACACGTTAACATGTCTTCTCATTTGAACTCATCCCTATATATATATATATATATATATATATATATATATATATATATGTATGTATGTATATATATATATATATATATATATTACTTTCTCCCAAGTTATGAAATACATATCAGTATATATACACTTGGAAATATTGACCCGTAGGTCATTGTTTATTTGGGAAAATAGTAGTAGTCAATGTTTTTGACTTAAAATCCTTTCCCACCCATAAACCTATGACTATATGAGTGTATAGGACTCCTCCTGGTCCATATCGAGTACCCTAAAGACACCACCCGGTCTTGAAGTACTAAGCTATAATCTATGAGTTTTGAGAACAACGTCCGGTCCTTGGGTACTCCACCTGATTATATCCCGAGTTTTGAGGGCACCGCCCAACCCTTGGTTACTCCACCCTATTACATGAGTTTTGAGGATACCGCCCGATCCTTGGGTACTCCAGCCTATTATATTCCGAGTTTTGAGGACACCGCCTGGTCCTTAGGCACCCCACCATAATCTATGATCTACCACATACCTTACCCGGTTATGGTCTATATCATAATCATTTATCAAGACTAAGCCAAGTCTTATAGCCTAAGCATATCATTCCATGCAACCCATGCACTTAACCTAACATACGGGAAAAACAGCAGCAAACCGACGCCAGTTCTCCTTAGACTCGCGTCGGTTCACCATTTAATTTAATAAATCAGGAAAACCGTACTCAAATCGGCGTCGGTTATAGCCCAAATCGGCGCAAGTTCAATGTGTTATTCGTGGTCAATGGCCCATTGACCGCCTGAACCGACTGCGATTGATCCGAAACTTGAGCACAACATGCATTAAGTCTTAAACAATCAATATTTGCCATTTTGGCCATTCAAAACATCACATATGTTTGATATCATTTTCATCTCATTTTCCATGCATAACATTATGGCCCACTTCATATAAGCCTAATCATCTTCGCTAAACACATGTTTGCACTATTTTAAACATCATTAAGAACACATATAGCATTTACTTAGTTAATCTCATACTTAAGCCAAGAGTTACAAAACATTAAGCCGTCCACTCACCTCGAACGAGTGTTATGAAGTTCTGCCCTTTTTGGTTGAACTCCGACTACTCTTTCTAGGAACACCTTAGGCAACTTCCTTATTCTTCACACTTTTTCCTAACCTTTCCCTTCTTTTATCTCCTTTCTTGGATGACTTTTGCTTGAGCTCGAATTGTAGTAATGAAGATGGAGTTTACAGAGCTTCTTCTCTCACTTTTGGTAGTTTGGGCGAGGTGCAATGATAAGTTCCTTTTGTCATATTTGACGATTGAGTGTGAGAGGAACCCCTTAGGTGTCAAAGATGGTCTCCCCCATTCTTTCAAGTTTTTTCAACCCTCTTTGCACTCAATCAACCTCTATTGGTTGACAAATTCATGGGGTGTCCCCCACTCATGTGGGAGGTCATCCCAATAAGTCCCAAAGTGTACATTCGGCCTCGAAAGTTGCATTTCTCGGACTGTTTTAATTATATTTTGTTTTATCAGGCCAAATAAAATATATCACATGTTCCAAATCACAATGGACCCTGAGAATGAATATACATTCGCTAACTTTAATTTAGAAGTCCCTGTAATTCATTACGGGCTATTTTCTGATAATTTACCAATACCGGTAAATTTTGCCTCGTCTGACTAACTGATCAACCCTATGCCTTTTCTATGGCCCAACTAGAATATCCACCACCATGCACATATTATCTAGACCAAAATAAATATAATATGTGATCCCGGAAATATCGAGTGGTCCACGTTCCCGGTGTGGGCCCCATGCAATTCATTATTCACGCAAAAGCAATAATAACAAATTTACAACCTCGTAAATTCATCAACCAATTCTAAATGTTCAATACATAATTTACATAAAAGTAAATATACTTGGGGACAATGTTACATATACAACAAACTTTTACTAAATATTTAGTTATTTAACTCATCAAAAACTAATATCCTTTGATATTAATTTTTGATGGATGGAATTTCTTGTAAAAACATGTCTCCCTATTATTTGTGGTATACGTTCAAATAGATGGTATAATTAGAAATCATTTTGAAATTATATACTTCGTATTATTAGTAGTTTATGGATCATAGTTGATACAAAGTATTATTTGGAATTATTTTCTCTAGTAAAAATAACAATGAGAGTGTTTGTTAATTAGAGACGGGTTCTTGGTTGATTATGTTAAGTCATAATAGAGTGAATAGATTCTCGTAATTATTTAGATTAGTGAATTGTATTAAGAGTTTCTTTTGCAAAAAAAAAATATAAATATTAAGGGTGTTTTAATTGGACTGTAATTTGCTGGTCTGCTTTTGTTTGGTTAATTTAAGTTTTACCTGCTCTAGTATGATTTGAACTAGTCTGATCTGGTAAATATGTGATCTCTTTATATTTTTATAATCCCAAAAGTTTGGTCTAATTTTATATGTTTAAGTCTAGTCCAATTTGGTCTTCAATTAAAAACGGTCCAAATAAAAATATTATAAAGAGTTTCTAAAATGGTGTTTGATTTAAGGATGTTTTTTTTTGGACTGAAATTTGCTGGTCTAGTTTGGTCTGGTCTGGTTTGATCTGGTCTGATCTGGTTTAAATTGGTCTGGTCTTATAAACGTCTGATCTCTGTGTATTTTATAACTACAAAAGTCTGATCTAGTCTGATTTGATATGAGACGGAAGAGAGTACAAAAGAAAACATAATTACTCCGTATAGGCCAACTTTGTTTAAAAAATCACAAATCCGCCACCGTTGAAGATACACTGCGAAGCGGTTGATACAAGCAGCCTTTCGGAGATTCCAAGAGTCTCTCCCCTGAACATCTCCTCACTTTCTTGACCCGCTCAAAACGATTTCTGTCTCGTATTCTTTCAGATATCAAAGAAGACCTGAGAAGAGGGAGATTGGCAAATGGCGATTTCTAACTGCGCTTCATCGTCGGCACCGTCAAATATATCATCGGTAGCTTTTCGGCATCATAAGAGCTTAGCATCCGTTCCTTCGATCTTTTCAAGGAAGTTCGCCCCCTGCGATGTTTTTTTGCTTTCTAAGCGCAGCCCATCACTCGATTCCATAAGTAAGGAAGATTTATATGCTTGGTTTGGATTCTGTTAGGGGTCTTATAATTATAATTATATGGATTCTACTCTTTCATACTGTTTTCTCTTCTGTTTATTATCTTCAATTTGCTGGAAATGTATAAGTTGGCTCTGAAATTGATAGCACGCTTCTTTGACTAATGTTAAAAAGTTGAGCTTTTTATTGCTAGATAACCTAGATTCTTTGAATTACATTTGTTAATAATACTTTTTATTACAAATCATGAATCCCCACCTAAGCTGTAGAGTGTTTACGTCCATACTAGGTTCTATAAATTGGTAGCATTAATCTGCTCATTCTGCTTATGATCCGAATAATAAGCAGCTGTTTCAGCCAAATAACCCTCACCAAACATGTCCTATAAATTCCCTTTTCTCTTTGCTCATTCTTACAAGCAACATGTTACAGTCTTACAGATGTTGATTATTAGGACTGAAGTGAAATAGTAGGACTGTTTGAGTAGCCATCTTGGTTTCTTTATATAAGTAGTTAACACTGACATCATTAGTATTTATTTGCTATTTCATTTCAAGGTTGTGTAGCATCTCCATTGGCTCCGGCGGGAAATGAAACCACATCAAAGAAGCCCAGAGAAAGGGTGTCATTGGTTTTCCCCCCTGAGAAGGATCTTAAAGATGCTCCTACCTTCCATAATAAGAACAACATCACAGACAGTTCAACTGTCAGTATAACTGTCGTGGGAGCGTCTGGAGACCTTGCTAAGAAGAAGATATTTCCTGCCCTTTTTGCTCTCTATTATGAAGATTGTCTCCCTGAGGTCCATCCTCTCCAAAGTCTCTCATCTTTATTCCTGCATTTATTTTTAGTTTGAAGATGTATATCCCTATTACTGTGTTTGGTGAAGAGCCAATTGGAGCTATTTTAGTTTTTTTGAGTAAGAGTTATAGTAAAAAGGATGACGATACTGTCTGATAATTAGCTCAAGCACAAAAAACCCTTTTTCTAAAAAACTTCGATTTGAAGCTCTTTGGACTAGTTTTTTAGAGTGCTTCATGTTATTACTTTGTGGCCCATAATCAAAATGTCCTTTTTGGTAAAGCTTTTTGCTTTGTGATCTATTATGTCCTTATTACACATTTTTACGGCTAACAATTACTTACTACTACCCAACATCTCTACATAAACAACTAAAGTAGAAAGTTAGTTAAGACCTCTAGTATAAACATCTAATTTCAAGTAGCCAACAACTAATTGCTGAATGTGGTATATTAATGGTTTTTGTAAGAGCTAATTTACTTTTTTTGGATGTTTCAGCACTTCACCATATTTGGATATGCCCGAAGCAAGATGACTGACGAAGAACTTAGGACCATGGTTAGCAAAACTCTTACTTGCAGGATTGATAAAAGGTATTAAGGGGTCTATAATTCTTCTTATAAGACATTTTTTCAATGAAGCATTCATTGTCTTTTTCAATCTTCACCTCAGTAAAATTGTCATTTACGAATCATTTTAAAGGGTGTAAAATAAATAATTTATGAAGTCAAAAATTTAATTAATTTCTTTGGTTTGTGTAATTTGGTTGTTTGAGTGTCTTATAATAAGGTCCAAGTGGTGTAAAACATGTATCTTTTTCCCAATTTAGTTTTGGGAAGGGTCATTGTGATTTTTTCATTGGCTTATAAGATGTTGTGAACTTCATGTGCAGGGAAAACTGCGGTGAAAAGATGGAACAGTTCCTAAAAAGATGCTTTTATCACAGTGGGATGTATGATTCTCAGGAAAATTTTGCAGAGCTTGATAGAAAGCTCAAAGAACATGAGGTTCTCTTCACAACTTCACATATTTTTAAAATAATCCTCTATGTTACTCCGTATATTTTATGGTTATGTTCTTGTAAGTGCATAAGGTTCTGTTTTGAGAAAATTATTTTCATGTGATTGGCACAAGAAATCTTTTGGTGGAAAGATTTTCACGTGCTTGGCATCCGCTAAGTACAACATTTTTTGACTATGATCTGTTAACATTTGTTGAAAAATGACTTCTTGCTTTGAGAACAGAAAGTTTTCTTGAAAGTATTTTTTTTTGTGGGTTGAATGTTATATTATACGTAGGACAACATATTCTTAAGGAAAACTTCTTCGATGAAAAACGTCTTCATATGAAAACTTTTTCTACAGCAACTTATTTTCCTTCAATGAAGTATTGCCTATGTAATTTTTTTGGTGTGTAGTAATTAATCTTTGTTGTTTGCTAATGATGAAATAAAGCAAAATGGATCACTAAACTGTTAGAAGCAGACAGTCCATGCAATTTTCGATGCGATTTTCATTATGGATCATCCGGAAACAGTCTCCTTGTGCTTTAGTACTTAAAGTATAGGGGTAAGACTGCATACATCCGACCCCCTTTAACCCACCGGTTGTGGGAGCCTTTGCGGCACTGTGGTAATGACGATGATGATGAGTAATTAATCTTTGCTAGGGAGTTGAAATTATGGCTTTAATTACCAATTAATTTGTATTTGCAGGCAGGGAAACTCTCCAATCGCCTCTTTTATTTGTCAATACCGCCAAACATATTCATAGATGCCGTACGATGTGCAAGTCTCTCTGCATCATCTTCTCAAGGATGGACAAGAGTCATTGTAGAGAAGCCCTTTGGGCGTGATTCTGAATCGTCTTCTTCTTTAACACGTTCTCTTAAGAAATACTTGAAGGAAGACCAAATCTTTAGGTATCATGATGCCTTTCCGTGATCTAATTTCAGAAATTAAGTATTTAGCCTATATTATGTTTATCGTATTCACAAGTATGTCATATTTGTTTTATAGGTCCGTGTGAAATTGTGAAATTGTTCCTTTGCATGTTATTTATCCTTTCAATTTACGCTTTGTCCCCATCTTTAGCACCTCTGTTTCAACCTGATTAAAAACTGATGAGATTAAGTGATTAACAGAACTACATCATTTGCATACCGTCATCATTTTTCTTAGAATGCTTTATTATTACGTAGTATTATTTTCTTAAGGGAGCTAGAGAGGCGTAAATCGAAAGTGAAATATTATGTTTTGTCCGGCCTAACTTCCCTAAGCCTTTGTTTGTAGACAAATAGGATTATAGAAATCAGGAGGAAAGGAGAGCAGAAATGATACTTTTACGTTATTTGGTGATGAAAGAAATATGAAGGAGACAAATGGGGAGGAAATGAAAGAAGTTCAAAATAGAAAAGATTGAACTCTCCCTCTATGGGAAGAAATGAATAGCATGGTGCGGAATGTGGATTTTTGTTGTTGTTTTATTTTAGTCCATTCTTTCTCTTTTGCTTCAATATAGCATGTTAGGGTTATTTTTGTCTTTCTAAAATAACGTGCACTTGTTTTCTAGTTCTTTCTAATATCTTCTAATTTTACCTTATTTCTCCACTATTTCTCTGTTCTCCATATCTTCCTCATGCATTTCTTGCTTCACTATTTCTTTCATACACCAAACAAAGGCTAATAGTTTGCAAAGAGTTACAGTAAGCTGACATGGAAGAGCTCGATATCAATGTTATTTCAGGAGAGGTTGTTCCAGATTGACCAAAAAATGACATAAATTGCAAGGATGAATGCTAATAAATAACTTTACGTGGATCTATAAAAGAAACGCCTTTTATCTAGGGAAGTGAAGTATCTCGCAGCCAATGTTTTATACATTTGTTTTCTTTACCATCATTGTAAAACAGGATAGACCATTATCTTGGGAAAGAGCTCGTGGAGAATCTTTCTGTCCTCCGCTTCTCTAATCTTATTTTTGAACCATTGTGGTCAAGGCAATACATAAGGAATGTACAGTTCTTATTCTCTGAAGATTTTGGCACTGAAGGGCGTGGAGGGTATTTTTTTCTTCCTTTTCTTTTTCTTCTTCTCAATGGCCTATTTGAAATTGTTCTGTCAAAATAATTTTCAAGAGTTCCTCACTATTGCTGATGTACTTATGATGCATTCTTTTACTAGTTACTTCGACAATTATGGGATTATCAGAGACATTATGCAAAACCATCTTCTTCAAATCCTTGCACTCTTTGCAATGGAAACTCCTGTCAGTTTGGATGCAGAAGATATTAGGAATGAAAAGGTTGTTCCTTTCATTGCAGGGATGGTTGTTAATATTATCATTTCAAAGGGAAAATGTACTTTGTAGTCTGCTTACTGTATGACATTATATAACTTGAGACTTGTCTTTCATTTTTTTAAATTCTGTGCATTTGTTACCATTTTGGTTCATTCAGTTGTTTTTGTTCATGTTATCAGTGAAAAATTGGTGTTAATTGGTGCATTCTCGACATAATACTAAAAACCTATACAGGAGTACTAACTGTACCTCAATAATAATATTGAAAGAGCATTTTTATGTTACATAGCGTCCAACAATTCATGTGCTTAAAGTTTTGTAAATCTAGCCCATCAGTTATAACTTAGATTCAATTAGTCCTTTACTTAAAGTCAGTGTTTTCCTTAAATATTATTTTTGTGCGGGGCATATTCTAGCTTCTATATTGACCAGAATGAATCCATATACTTTAATACTAAATTGTGATATTCGTACAAGGACCTAATTTTATTTTAACAACTGTTAAAGGGCTAAGTGAATAAGTTTATAAAATATGGAAAAATGCCCCCACATCTGTGCAACTGAGGTAGTAAAAGTTCAACCTTCCCTTATAAAACTCCAGTTTTATATCTGTCATCTGATCATCATTGTATATGGTACAACATTTGCAGGTAAAAGTGTTGCGTTCAATGAGGCCTTTACAACTTGACAATGTGGTAATAGGGCAATACAAGGGACATACAAAGGGAGGAGTTGCTTACCCCGGATACACTGATGACAAGACTGTCCCCAAGGATAGCCTAACTCCAACATTCGCTGCTGCTGCTATTTTTATTGACAATTCGAGATGGGATGGTGTTCCCTTTTTAATGAAAGCCGGGAAGGCTTTACACACTAGAAGGTTTGTCTAATCACTTGAAGTTTTTTATCTTGCTCAGTGCTGTTGTACCAAGCGAGCTCATCTTGGCTTGTTTGTTTCAGAAAATGAGTTGAGTTTGAGGTTGGTTTGAAAACTCAACTTGGGCTCATAATAAGTGGATTGTGAGCTTAGCTAGGTTTGCATTGACAAGGCGCATACTCTAGGTTGATGCGAGTTGTGTTAGGTTTTGAACATCGAAACTTGACGAGGCAGGCTTGAGCTAGGCTCGAGCCAAGCCTGAACATGCTGTGGCTCAAATATGTGGTGCTTGGGCTTGGCTTGAATGATTGACCTAAGTTTTGTTCACGCTCAGCCCAATCGACAGTTACTTAATTATTATCCATCCTGTTGTTTTTTTCTCAGTGCCGAGATACGAGTGCAATTTAGGCACGTGCCTGGAAATTTGTATAACAAAAACTTTGGTTCTGACTTGGACCGAGCAACAAATGAGCTTGTTATCCGTGTGCAGCCAGACGAAGCTATTTATTTGAAGATCAACAACAAGGTCCCTGGTCTGGGAATGAAGTTGGACTGCAGTAATCTTAATCTTTTATATTCCACCAGGTACCTACCCTTTTTGCTTGATATCTGTTATCTACATTAAATATTTAGTTTTTGCAATGTGCTAAATGGGCTATAAAATTGAAGAATTCTTTAGCGATAATGCTTGTATATTAGCCCGTCACATCAAATTTATGCCTTCAACCTGCAAAAAGACACTCTCATACTCGATCCGTCCCAAAAATGTCATGCTTGGTTCATGTATAACTCTCTAGCTTTTGCAATGTGATGTTCTTACAATTTACAAGCCACTAAAAGTCAGTTTTATATTTTTAAAAATCATTTGTGTGTTTGGAACTCAGAAAATGATAGGGAAAAATAGGAAAACAATTATAGAGAAAAGTGTAAGGAAAAAAATGTTATGGAAAATACAACAATGGTTCGAACCCAATAGATTTATGTTTTTATTTGTGTAACTACGCTTTTTATTTTATTTCCATTATATAAAAATAGTTTAACAATGGAGCCAAAGACTCACTATTGTTTGGCTTAGGGAATATGATGGAATAAAGTAAAATGACTCACTGAACTGTCAGCGCTTCCTTGTTATGAAGCCGCATTTACTCAATGCGATTTTCGACGCGATTTTCATCATGGGTAAGACTATACATTCGACCCCCCTTACCCCTCCACCGTTGGTGGGAGCCTTTGTGGCACTGGGGTAATGTTGTTGTATATAAAAATAGCTTAACACTCATAAAAAAATTAAAAACATTAATATTTGCTCAAGGACATGACAAATGAAAATAACTTCCATAGCATTTTCCATGATATACATAGTTTAAATGTTACGGAGTACATTTTAGCTTCATATTTTAAGGAATCTTCTCTTGGCTCCACATTTATCTTAGATGTTTTGATAATAGGTACTCTAAGGAGATTCCTGATGCATATGAAAGACTTCTTCTTGATGCTATAGAGGGAGAAAGGAGACTATTCATTCGAAGCGATGAACTTGATGCGGCTTGGTCTCTTTTCACTCCGGTACTGAAGGAGCTCGAGGAGAAGAAAATAGTTCCCGAGTACTACCCGTATGGGAGCCGTGGGCCGATTGGAGCCCACTATCTTGCAGCCCGTTACAATGTGAGATGGGGTGATCTTGGGGCGGACCAATAAAATTCTTGGTATGAAGATGGGATAATAGTTTAGTGGGAAACTATAGAATCTAGAGACCCCAAACTTCGATTTTTGGGTTACAAGGTTTCCATTTTTGCAACCTTGAGCTATTCTTTGCCTTTTCTTCCAAGTGTGGGTCCTGCAAATTTGGTTTCCTGAGATGGCGCCACACATTCATTCTCTTCAGTTGTTAGGTCAAGAAGTGTCATCTTTCTAAGAGAAATTTTACATATAAATATTTATTTAATTACCAATAAGCAATGCAAAGTGTGGGTTAAGGAACGCAGTGTAGCACTGTAGCATGTGCATGTGATTTTTTTATTTTTATAGTGATGTAATGATGTAATCTTATGTCTGCGTTCAGCAAAGTTTGTTGTTGTACTTATTTTTAGTTCAATCTTCAAAGAATAAATAAATAAATAATTAGCGGAGGAGATATGAAAACTGAAAAGTGGTTATCATGAAAGAACCGTGTTAGAAAGATTAGACAAAGATTACAATCAATTTTTGTACACTTTTTTGTAATTTACGTACTACGATAGTATCATTTTTCATTTTTGTAATGACAAGGATTAGAAACTTTGTCAATTTTCTAATCTATTGATATATTTCTCGTGTGTCTAAATTTCAATCAAATAATGTATATTTTTTTCATTTCACACATAATTTAACTCGGTAATGTTTATTTGCTAAATCAGGTCTCAAGAAAGTTCCACACCCATGAACAAATTATACATATATAAGTATGCAGTGGTGCAGCAGAATTTTTTTTATAAATGAGAAAAGGGGCAAATAAGGCTACGTACTAACAAAAAAAGTCAAATAAGACCTTATTTAGGAGGCTATGTCTGTCTGTTGCCATTTGGGGTGGTTCCTGGTGGAATTTTTTGATGATTTTTTTTGAGAATCGTATTCATTAAGTCTAGTTTACTCATACCAAATTTCAGCTAAAACTTCAACCGGGAAGACATTCAAATAAATTCTTGAAGATAAAATTTCAGCTTATGTGCAATAGAGTTTATATCTATGGGGCCATCAATATGTATTTTAAATTATATATTAATAAAGTATATTAGAGGTGTATGCATTACAAATTTACAAGTATCAAAATAGAATTATAAAATTTATGAAACATAATTCTTTTTAGAATAAAATGACTTACACATTTATAAAAAAAAAAATGCTACTTATTCTCTTTCTTAAGAGTGTTAGAGAAATCAAAGTCAACTAGTTCATTATTATTTTTACAGCATTGTCAACATTAACAAGAAAAAATCCTCCATTCATCCGAAATTCCATTCTTTTCGGCCATAATTGCCCGTATTAGTTGCAAGTTGTCCATCCTATCCATCGTGAGGTTCTTTATCTTTGTCAAAGTGACTAATAAAAAGATCACATTTAAAGTTTTTTAGGTTTACCCAGTATCAATATTTAGGTAGAGCTCACTTGTTCATATTTTATTGATCTAAATTGATAAAATAAAAGTTCATATTTTAATTTTTAAAGCTTTATATTTTATTAACCCCGCCTCGCCTTGAACAATCATATAACAGTTGGAGGCTCCTTTCCTTTTTTTGTGGCTCAAGTCAACCCCTTTTTTACTACGTAATACTCCGTATTTGCATACCGAAACCGTCATCATATCCCTAACTCGTTTCCGGCTCCCAGGTAAATAACCGGCCAATTCCATTTTGTTCAATTCCAGAGCTGGATCCATGCCTATTTGTAACATATAGAATGTGGAAGAAAAGGTTTGCACAAATCTTTTGGGACAATAATCCATGATTTTTTTTATTTCTTGTAGTCTACTGAAAGTTTGAATACACATAAAGTTTTGTGGACTACTAAATATTTACATTCATACATCAAACTTTTAAAATCCGCAAACTTAAAAATTTATTCCTTATTTCATATATAATAGAAATAATTTCAAATATATAGCCAAAATAAATGTACTAGACAACAATGTGACCCTAGTAACTTTTGTAACTTTGATTGTATTCAAATATTACTGATAGCTTCCTGACTCCGACTGAGGTGATAGAGAGAATGGAGAACTAAAACATAGAGAGAGAGCTTGTAATAAATGAGTTCTCAACCCCCTGCAACTACCCCCAAGGGGTATTTATAGGAGTAATACAGACCGGGCTCACAGGTTTTAGGCCTGTGAGGCCAGTTTACAATAATGGTTCACTAATGGGCCTGTTTACACGTTTTGATCCACTAAGAGGGGAGTCGCGGAGGTGTGCGTCTGTCGAGGGTCCAAGGTGTATGAAGCACCTCGATCGATCTTGCCTGGGGAGACACCGAGTTGAGACCCTCCGTGGTGAGATACGATCCGTCTTCTTCTCTGGGCTGGGCCTTAAGCCCATGGCGCCCGCTCAGGTCGTCCATGTGCCCGAGAGTATGTGGGCCGCTAGTGCAGGCCCATATACTCCATCAATTACATTTTAGTAACTATAAAGTTTACTCATAGTAGCTTATAGTCACATTGTTGTCCGTAGATTTTTTAATAGTACTACATAATATTTTCGGAAAAACCCGTATATAATACAGCTCTGAGTATAAATTACATTTTATTTATGAATGCAAGCAAGACATGAGAACAAAACATGAACAAAAAGAATCTTAATGGTGATATAAAATTAAAGTTGAAATAAATGGGAAATCATGTAGGTTATATTTGAAAACATAATACACTTCATATCATTCTACATGAGCTGAGGAAGCGTTGGTAGTGTCAAAAGTAAACACTTTGAACGAGAAGTGTGTAAATCGGAATTAGTTTAATCAATAATTACCGTATGGCTGCCCAAAACAATATTGTTCAACCTAATCCCGAATCAAACTCTAAAAATGGTATTTTGATTTGGTTTGACTTCACCAAGGTAAACCATTTAGTAACAATATGCTCAAGCGGAATGGTTCGATTTAGTTTGATTTTAAATTGAAAAACGGTAAACCGAACCGAGAAATGTTTAACATTTATTAAAATACTTTGTATTAAACCATTTATCTCCACTCTTCATCTTGTATTTTACTATAAATTACAATGATTAAAGTTACTATTGTATCCACTACACTAAAAAATCACATTTTTGTAAACAACTTTTACTTTGATCCTAATTCAAAGTAACTTATACTCGGTATTATTATTTTTTCTTTTTTTCACAAAATTTAATAATTTTTTATTTATTTATACTCCCTCAGTCCCGAAAAGGTTTGCCAAATTTCCTTTTTTGGATGTCCCAAAAAGATTTGTCGTTTCCATTTAAAGTAAGAAACATGTGACTAAAGTTAATTCTCCCTCCTCAAATTTCAACCACACAGTTTTTACTTTATTAATCTACATAAAAATCAAAGTTGGCGAACCTTTTCGTGTCTGGATGGAAGGGTATTTTATAGTTTATACGGTCAAGGTTAGGCGTGTTAGAGTGGCACAAGAAATAAAAAAACGAAGAAATGACGTAGAAACTAGAGTCATCATTTCAGATTTCAAGCTTTCTGGCGTCCTCAAGAAAATAAAAGGAAATGGAAAATTGGGAATAGAAAAGAGGGAGTAGAAAATACGTATGGGAGAAGGTATATGCATATATAGACAGAGAGAGATGAGGGGTCGGGAGGAGTAAGAGAGAGAAAGAGAGGGGCGCAATGGAAGGGCAAGATAGGGTTCTGGCCACGGCACAGCAGATCATGAAGAGCCTCCACACCTCCACCAACACTGATGACATGCTCCTCATCTTCTCCAGGTTCGACAATCGTCTCTCCAATCTCTCCAATTTCATGTCTTCTGCGCCCTCCACCTCCACTCCTTCCTCCGCCAAGGCAGCCGACGCTGACGACTCCTTCGCCGATCGCCGCTTCGAGGAGGCCGAGAAGCTCATCCTTGACGCCTCCGGCGATCCCTCCTCCACTACCGATGCCTACTTGGCCGCCGTTGACGAGATTATTCGCTTGACCGAGGATCTGGATCTGCCGTCGGCGGCTGCTGACGCCGTCTTGGACCGTGCCGAGGCCGCTCTTCAGCTCGCTATGTCTCATCTGGAGGACGAGTTCCGTGACATCCTCACTCGCAGCCTGGTCCCTATCGACACCGATCGCATCCACACTTCTTCCTTCATCCGCCGCTCCTCACTCTCTTCCTCCTCCTCTTCCGTTTCAGTTTCCGAAATTCCAGATTTCGAGACTGGAACCGACTCTGAAGTTGGACGGGAGGGTCGTGCAAGCAGTGGGAGGTACAATCACTTGAGAGGCCCTAGCCTCGGAGGTATAGAACTGTCCCTAGATTTGGTCACTCCAGATTCCATTATGGAACTCAAAGAGATAGCTGACCGTATGATTCGATCTGGCTATGAAAAGGAGTGCTGTCAAGTTTACTCCACAGTCCGGAGAGACGTACTGGATGAGTTCATGTCCACTCTAGGCGTTGAGAAACTTAGCATTGAGGAAGTCCAGAAGATTGAGCCTCGAATTTTGGATGAAAAGATGAAGAAATGGATATATGCTGTGAAAGTTGTGGTCAGAGTTCGTCTGTCTGCTGAAAAGCAACTCTGCGAACAAATTTTTAGTGGCTCTGAGTTGACCAAAGAAATATGTTTCATTGAGACTGCAAAAGGATGTGTAATGCAGCTCTTGAATTTCGGAGAAGCGGTTGTCATAGGCAGGAGGTCTTCAGAGAAGATATTCAGAATCCTGGACATGTATGACGCTCTATCTGCTGTTCTGTCTGACTTAGAGGATCTTTTCAGTCACGAGGTAGGGGAAATGGTTTGTACCGAGGCTAAGGGTGTCTTGGATGGGTTAGGAGAAGCAGCTATAGGAACTTTTGTGGAATTTGAAAATGCAGTTAAAGGGGAGGCTTCCAAGACTCCTATCCCAGGTGGTGAGATTCATCCATTAACTCGTTATGTTATGAATTATGTGAAATTACTTGTGGATTACAGCAACACAATTAATGAGCTTTTACATAATGTTGGGAGTGGATTGGAATCTGAGAGCTCTCAAGTTGAAGATGATAGGGAGCTGGAGAGTAATTCTCTTTTTGCGAGACGTTTGTCCATATTGATTAAATCTTTGGAAGCTAATCTTGAAGAGAAGTCCAGAATGTATGAGGATAGCGGGATGCAGTATATATTCTTGATGAACAATTTACTGTACATAGTCCAGAAAGTTAAAGATTCTGATCTTCGGAAGCATTTGGGTGATCTGTGGATACGTAAGCGTCGTGGACAGGTTAGACAGTTTGCAACTGGATATCTAAGGGCATCTTGGAGCAAAGTTTTGTCTTGTTTGAAGGATGAAGGCATTGGTGGAAGCTCAAATAATGCCTCAAAAATCACGCTCAAAGAAAGGTTCAAGAACTTCAATGCCTGCTTTGAAGAACTGTATAGGATCCAGACTGCTTGGAAGGTTCCTGATGAACAACTCCGTGAAGAGCTTCGGATTTCCATTTCAGAGAAAGTCATTCCTGCATATAGGTCCTTCATGGGGAGATTTCGCAGTCATCTTGAGAGTGGAAGAAATTCTGGTAAGTACATAAAGTATACACCTGATGATCTGGAGAAATACTTATTGGACCTCTTTGAAGGAATACCTCTCAACCTTCACCACATGAGAAGGAAAAGTTCTTGAAGTGTAGGTCAATTTTCTGTCTCCTCAAAGGATAAAAACTAAAAAAGAGAAAAAAAAATCATGTTTTCCTTTTGCTGAATATCTGTAATTTTACCCATCCTGTTTAAAAGAATGAAAGTTCATCTCCTTGATAGTTACATTCTTAGCTAATACCTCTATATAAACTAGGAACATTGATTGTATAGTTGTTGTATTAGAAGAAATCATACAAAAATTCGATGGCTATTTATAGTTTGCAAACAAGAATACATTTATAGGCACACTATTTAGAGAAAGGTTAGGTCATCCTGAGTAGCAAAAGTTTGCCTCTCAATTTTCTCATGTTACACATTAAAATATGAAATTGCCTTTTCGGGTCTCCATCACATTTAATAAATTATGAAGATTGTTCCATGAAGGACAACATTCTTGAGCATACAAAAAAATGACATTGTGGTGAGTAATATGAAAAAAAAAACATTTGGTTCATGAATTAAACTTTAAGTTATTGTTAATGCACTGGAAATAGCACTTCATTTCTTTGCCCTACATGATGCAGGAGTTTCGCACACAACATTTAAGATTTTAAACAGTGCTTTGAAGGTGGTTAAAAACGGGCTTACTGTAAAGGATATGTTTGATATTGTTTGACACTATTCTTCAGTGTTTGATATTGTACAGTTAGTATTATCATATTATGTGAGAGTAGTGGAATAATTGCTAAGATTTTTCTTAACTAAATAAGAAATGAATGTAGGAACTTCGAGTAAGGATAGTTTGGGACGAATGGGTATGCACTTGATTCTTTTATCACCTGCTTGTAAGAGTTATTTAGTTAAAATTTCTGAATCTATTTTTTTTAAAGGAAAGTGTTTGGTAAGTGGTAAATTTAGTTAGTCAAAAGCTACTTATTCTTGTTACTTTGGTTATTCTAATGATAAGCAAAATACCATATAACTATATAAGGTTACCAAACGGGGCATAAACTAAAAAGCTTGGTTAGCTAGTGGTTGTTTCAACTTTCTACTCAATGAATTTTATTACTTTTGGGTTCAAGCCTCAAGGGTTCTTAAAGTAACAATTAATCTATGAGAATAGCTATATTTAATTTATTACCTTGGTATTTAAAAAATGAAATACTTCAACTTAAATACTTATGTAGGTGTTATTATGACTTATGTTTAGGGTTGATGATAGAAAGCATCAGACAATATACTTAAAATGTCAATGCATAGTGTGAAAGAATGAACCATTTTGATGTGGTGACACGTTTTTCTTCATTTATACTTTAATTAATGTCATTTGACTTCTTTGCCGTACCCTGCCCTTCAGTTGATTATTGAGCTTCTGTGGATTAAAAATATTACTCCAAAAAAAGAAATTACTGGTTCAGGGGTCACATGTACTGATCATCAAAATCTTAAAGATAAGACTTTAGGGATTTTTGTGTGATAGAGTCGTTCTGTCATGAGTATTTGATAGAAATGATTGAGTATTCTTGAGTAGGAGGTTACAAGTTGGAATTCATATCAATCGGAGTACGTAGTAATATTTTGAGAAGTTTTGCAAAAAAAATTAGATGGGTAGGTCCGGATTAGGGGTGGACTTGGGCCGGGCCAGGCCAACCGGCCCGGAACCGGACCGGCCCGCTACTGTGCGGGCCCGGACCGGCCCGGTCAACCGGTTGGTGCACCGGTTCGGGCCACCCGGCCCGGTGGGATGGCGGTCCGGGCTTGGGCCCTGATTTTGGTGAACCGGCCCGGCCGGTTCGGGCCAGATTTTAATTTTTTTTTTTTGGAATTTTTTTAAGTTTTGGGTTGGATTAGGTATTTTGGGCCATTTGAGGTGGTTTGGGGTTGAGGGGGAGGGGTAGGGGGTTAAAAAGGAGAACCAAAAAAAAAAATAGACCGGTTGGCCCGGCCCGGTTTGGCCCGGAACCGGAACCGTCCACCGATCGTGTAAGCTCAATTCAGTCTCTAAACTACAAAAGGGTTTAATTCACACCCCGAATCGACAAAAAATGGTTCAAATTTCATTTTAACGGGTAAACAACCGATCATTTTTTCAATTTTTTAATTGTATCTGTTTTTTATTTTCAATTTATTGCATTTTGACACTTTTTAATAGTTTAGGGGTGCGAATTGGACCTTTTTTACCGGTTATTTAACCTTAAAAATGAAATTTTAACCATTTTTTGCCGGTTCGCGATGTGAATTGGACCTTTTATTAGTTCAGTGACTGAATTGAGGTTTTAGAACCGGTACAGGGGCCTATTTGACCCTTTAGGCTAAGAAGAATTAAATGCTTTAGCTCACAGTTCATCCAGTAAGGGTCTTTATTAGTATAAAAGAATGGAAGCTCGATGAACCTCAAATGGAGAATTGAAATTAAGGTATAATACGGAGTAATATCTTAACATTGGAGCTCTTGCTAATGGAATCATTAATAGTTTTGAAAAATTAGCCGGAGTAAAAAAAAATCTTCTATTTAAAGTGCTGCGAATACACATGGACATGAGGAGCCTCCTTGACTTTTGAAGACCCGTCCGCCTTCAAGCATATCGAAGGGCGAGCTGGTTGGTTGATTTGGGCGGCGTGGTTGGAGTCTGGACTGTAGTCGCTAGGATTGGTGGGGAAGGAGGTGGCCTTGGCTATTTATTCCAATTTTTAGAAGCAAGGGCAGGTACGAGGTTGGTGATCAGGTTAGGAGGAGGCACTGTTCTGACATCGTAGTTTTTCTGAGGCGACATCCAGTAGCAGTGCGACGACGATCAGGAAATGGAAAGCTTTGTTGATAGGTATAAACAAATGGCGATCAGGGAGGATGAGGATGAGTTGAACCTTGATGAGGTTGAGGTTGGGGGAGTTCTTGTGGAGTGGGTTGTGCTGGGTTTTCAGGTGATTGGCCAGGTGCTGACGAACCGGAAGGTCAAATTTCCAGATTTTAAAGAGATGATGCTTACACTATGGAGGCCGGGGAAATGAATGGCGGTAAAAGAAATTGGTGAAAAAGGTACCTATTTATGTTTAATCACCGCTTTGATACGATGCTTGTGCTTGAAGGAGGGCCTTTGCAGTTTGAGCGTAGTTTCGTAATGTTAAAAGAAATTATGCCTGATGATATTCCACAGAAAATTATTTTAAATGAGACTGAGTTTTGGGTTCAGATCCATATGTCCCCTATAGTCTTGTTAATCTGGGTACTTCCAGACGTGTGGGAAATTTTATAGGAGAATTTATTAAATATGATGATAATCAGTGATAAATTAGAGTCATATATGCGGATTAGGGTTCTTATGAAAATGGATAAATCGCTGAAGAAGGGGACAAATCTGAAAAAGGATGGTAAAAGTTTTTGGGTATATTTCAAATATTAAAGGCTACCCAATTTTTGCTTCATCTGTGGTTTATTTGACACTCAGATAATTTATGTCCCTCAAATTATGAAGAAGGCTTAGTTTTAGAGAAAAAAGGGTTGGAATCCTTCTTAGAGCAGGAAGCGCGGTGAAGACGAGCCCAACAGGAGGTAATATAAGTGGCTCTTGGAGGGTTCATCAAGCTCTGGCAGAACGGGTGGATTTACAGGGGTATTTAAATCGGAAGAAAAGACTGGTGAGAAAGGGAAAGAAACAACGACTAAATCAGCCCAAAGTTTTACCAGAGGAGGGGATGAGCCAAAAGAAGAGATTTCCAAGAGAAGGAAGATCTGGGAGACTCAGACAGAGAAGGAACAAGAGGAGGACACTATGGCTTTGGATGGGACAAAAAACGGGGAGGAGGCGATCTTTGCTCTTTAAGCCCGCCGAAGCTGCTGATAGGCGAAGGGAGGTTGCATGTCCGTGGGATTGTTCGAGTTTTCTGGCTGCGACGTAAGTGTTTTATTTTTTGTTTTATTTGTTACTTCAGTGATTGTTATTTCTGTTTTGCTGTTTGTTCCTTCTTTTATGTTCCTGTTTGTAAGACGTTGATTTTGGATGTGGGGGATGAGAGGAATATGGTGACCGTTCTTGGCTTTAGGTTTCCCATTTATGGATCGGCGAATTATATTGCTTCTCTGGAAGTGATTATTTTCGAGTCTGGTTCGCGGGATAACGGTTGTTAGATTTCTTTTTGTCATTTGACTCATACTCTGAATTATCTGTTATCAATTTAAGCCGAATTCTTCCAAAAAAAAACTTTTGAAGACCCAAGCAACTCCGACCTATCTGACTTTTTCGAAATTGGGATCGATCCAACTCTAATACGAAGTATTTCCGAAACCTTTGAACATATACATAGTATTATCCATCACGACCCCTGGTTCTTGTAATATTTGCCCACCTCTAGTTGAATTAAGTAAACAATGTTTGTCAGGATTATTTATTCCATATAAGTAAACTAAAAGCTACTTAGAATGTTTTTACTTTAACTTGTTTCAGTCCCTTTAGACTAGACTGTTGTACAGTGATATGACATTTACCGTACAAGATCGGACCAGATAATTTCAGTCAACTAAAAAGTGTACTACCTAACGAAGCCATTTGTTTTATTTTTGGCTCTTTGCCACCTATAACTTATGCGCCATTAACCTAACTAAGATAGCTTTATGGACATATAGTACTCCAGTTAGTTTTGTACACTCTCCCTATTATAATGAATCTATAGCATTTATTTTTTTGTCAATCAAACAATTTGTTGATCTGTTGTATCCTATTCAAGAAATGTCGTCCCAATTTCCATCTCAAAAGACAATGAAAGCTCTCCTACAAGAAGGTATTTCAATGACTTTCTTAAATACGATAGTAATTGTTATAACATGATACGTCTTCTTATAATTGCCCTTATGGGTTTTGGTAGAAATGATCTCATTTTCTTGGCATTTTCTTTTAATATGCTTCTTTATATGTTCAGTTTCTTGGCATTTTTACAGAATTGTGCTTCTTGGGAAATGTGTGTAATAAGAATTATCATCAATTGTCCCTTCGGGGACATCCGATAAAATTGGAACGATACAGAGAAGAATTATCATCAATTATGTTAATAATATGTGGCAACGTACTTTTTATTCATTATTTTCAAGGTTAGGTGTAATGCTTTGATTTTTATTTTTTCAATTGATAAACCGGATCATGTGACAATTAATGATCATGTGACAATCAATGATTTATTGGTTTGGACATTCACAAGAATAATCCCAACTATTAGACATCTTCTAATATTAATCCCAAATATACATATTTCTAAAATAATCTCAAATATACCAACAGTCTTCCCAAATTAGTCCAGGTTACCTGTGACTTGTTGAACCGGTAAAAACAATTAAAGGAGAAAAAATTGAAGATCCTTCATCTTCACCTGAAGGATTCTTGCTTCCTTCGTTTCTAACAAGTAGACCTCTCACTTTGTCCTTTTTTTAATTGTCTTTTCTATTCTTTTTTTATCCCCCCTCCACCGCATAGAGTAAATCTCCTCCCCACCTTCCATTTCGATCTCAAATTTGCACCTCAACTTTGTACTTAATTCTTTCAATTTCAGAATTTTCAAAGTTTAATTTCAACAATCCAACTGTAACACCATTCATCGATGTTGAAACTTGAATAATGGACCACAGACGATGGAGGTCGGACCAGCTGGGATGAAGGGACGGATGGCTCTGAAGAACAGTTGACATGGGGCGGAGGTCCGACGTCAAAGAACAACTCCGATGGACGATGATGTTGATGAAGACGGACGGATAGTCATCGTCGTGGTCGAAGAGCTGCTAGGAAAGCTAGCCGGCCGTTGAAATTCTACAACGGCCTTGATGGCGATGATGGAACAAAGAAGGGCCGGCGTTTCCAATCTCCTG